GTTCCGCTTTTTTTCTAAATATAATTAATTTTCTCTTGTAATTATAATGAGTTAGTGGGATTATACATTAACATTTTTTGCTACAATAATTTACTTGTAATTAAAAACGTGTTTGTTAACCTGTATCATCATGTGCTGCATGGAAATTTCGAGGAATGAAGATACAAAGTAAAGTGGGCCATTAAAATATGAATTATGATTAGGAACAATCACCTTATTTGAACTGTGGCCCATTAATATTTTAATTATAAATGTGAACAATCACTTTATTGGAACTCGAAGACGGTCCATGTCCACAAGTGCGTATCTTGTCCAAGACCAAAGAATAATCCACCGACGCTCAATTATTAATTATAATCTTTTTTTTTTTAATTATAAACTTAATTTAAAAGATAATTGTCCAAAACGGGCAGCATCACAGCTAATCATGTCCTAAAATTAGGAAATAAGCCATTCCATTGGACGAAAAGCACAGCCTAATTGTTGTTTTAATTTAATTTAACTCTAATATATGTGCTTTCTCGGTAGGTTACATGATATTTAGCCGGCCACTGAAACTGAAATAGAGATTACGTACGTTGGACCACAAAATATTTATATTTCATAAATCCGTTTGGTTAAGTCGAGTTGTCATACTATTTGAATAAAAAAATGTATAATCATATTATCAAATAATATATATCTATTGATTATTTTGTGTTTAAAAATATATTTGTATAATATTCGTATAATATCCGCGTTCAGTTAAAAAATATATGATTAAAGTTATTGCTAAAATAAAAATTTTATTTAACAATTTTGATGGACTAATTGATGAAAAAAAAAAGAGTAGACAGTGCATAAAGTGATTTTAAAATGTAATTTATGAGAGAAATATAAAAGAAAATTATAAGATGGTAAATTGTTACTTGCTCAAACTAAGAAATAATTTTGTATGAAGAGAAAAAAGATAACAATAATAAATGTACACTTACCAAGTTTGAAAAGAAGTTATTTATATCTATACCAAGCCTAATCCAAAGCAAAAATGAATGTGTAATGCTAGAAGTACATAATATCGTACATAGGGGTGTACATAACACTCACATTGAGTGAGACCCACCAAAAATAAAAAATCAAGTTGATCCCACGACATTTGAGTGTTATGTACACTTCTATGTACATTTATTATGTTCATATAGCATATTCCAAAATGAATATACAAACAACTTTTTAAAGCTTAAATTTTCGTCATGTCAGCATCCAAAACATGTGAATCTGCTACTTAGACTCAACATGTTTTGAATTAATATATAGAGAGGGATGATATTTTTAACAAACGTATGTATATTTTTAAAAAGAATATGCCGATCTAAAGATTAGGCTGATATGACACATATTTATATTTTTGTTTGAGACATTACTAACACCCATTTTTTCAGTGGATTTTGTCAGAAAAATATTGAGTTAGATATATTAGTATTGCATATTTTGATATGGAATATGATTTTTTATTTTTTTTTGGCGATACCTTTTTGGAAACCGGGCTTTGGAGTTTGGGATTTGCTCCGACATAACCGGTGAGTCCAACGTAAGGGATGACATAGGTTGCAATAAGATATTTGATGTCATCGGCATAGGGATCAAACGGAGGCACGAGAGGCTTTCCGAACGCGTCNAATAATCATCAATATGAAAATATGAATGACTGGAATGAGCCACAATAGTTAATTAATTATAATAGTTTTGCTTAATAAAAAATGCAAAAATTAAGAATTTTGTGGTCACAGTTCAAGCCACGAATGACGAATTTAATCAAACCGAACCGGGTTCATGACATTCAACCCAGGCCCAACAGTTCATGTTGTCGGGTTATTGGAGTGGACCATCCTAATTCAACACACAACTTGCTTTGTACAATTTCAAAAAGTAAATAAAATACAAGGAAAACAAAAATACACACACATATTCGTTTTATACGTGTCATCCAGCTCAGCTTGCAAATGTATCATCCACTTGCCACGTTTCCAACTCCTTGTCCACGATTACCCTTATTATTATTGTGTTACGAATGTGAATGTGAGTTGACCCAATATTTTAAAATTTTGATCTTGGATAGTTGATGAGAAACTAGCATGTTTGTATAGAAAAATTTCCACTCAAAATTTCATTTAACTCAAAATTTAACTCAATTTTAACTCAACTTCAATATTTTCAATATTATTAATATAATTAATTAATATCATCCAATCATTCTTGTACATCACATCTACTTTAAATCACTATTCATCAATTCACATAATTTTAACTAATCATCACTTCATATCATCTCCCTCATACTTTTACATCAAATCAATTTTACTTATTTTATTTTAAATATTATTTTAATATAAATCCAAAATCTTACTAACAACTAACTATACGATCTTTTTCTAAATTAATTCTAGTTAACAAAAGAAATCCATGTTGAATGAAAATTTTTGCATACAAACATGGACAATTTGAATTAAATAGCAATTTTGTCCAATGACAATGAGCTCTATGATTATAGAAATGTCTACTAACGAATTAGCTTGTTGATATTCTATGTCAAAATATATGAGTTAGTAAATAATTTTTGCTATTTTTTGCAATTAATTGATGGATAATTTGTAATCAAGTTTTACATTGTTCTGCTCGATTTTATTACATGGACATATTTTTTATTTATTGATTTATTTTTTTACATGTGCATATTTTGAAAGTATAAAATTTACTTGACATATTTACCGCATGTCCAAAATTATTTATGTATATTATATACCAAAAATAGCGGTTGCTTCCTTGGTTTCCTCGCAACACTATCCTTTAAATTCTAGCTGCAAATTAAATATGAACATCCGAAAGTCAAATAGTACTAAAACATCTAGGCGGTCAAATATTTGATATTAGCAACAGTTTTTTAAATTTTAAAATAATAGGTTATGCACTTGTACCATTATTTTTTATTGACTCAATGTTACCACAATTTGCTACATGTCACTATTTATCATGGGATTATTTGGAGATTTGAGAAAGTATTTATAGCATATTCACTATTATATGTCAACAGAGAAATTCAAATAATGTAGCTGCAGAAAAATTCAAAAAATATTTCATAAATGAATGGATCATAACTAATTAATCAATAATAGTCTCGTAATTTTTAAAATTAGTCAATTTGAGAAAAAAAAAATGGCGATAAACATAAATTTTAGCTAAAACTTGAATGGAACGTTGTGCACAAAACCTGTCATGCTTTCCTACCAAAATTGTTCATAAAATGACCGAATTTTAATATACGTGCGCGTTGTATATCAAGTTCCGAAAAAGGAAAGAACTATTAAAGTAATCATTTTAAATATTAGCTAGGAACTATATATTATATCAATTGAATACATTAATGAACCGAAACTCACGGTACACTTTTCAATTATTAAATAATTTGTTATATCAAGAAAGTATAGTTAACTAGGTATACGATTTAATTACTCCTATTTTAAGGAACAAGATAAGTTTTTGCCAAAATAAGAATTAAGAAAATAGTTTGTAGAGAAATAATGATTGTTACTAGTTAGGTATTTGCACACCCAATAATTAATTAACTCACGTGATTCATATACAACTTTCAAATTTTCAATCTTTTGAGCATTGTTTTGTCGTGTCACTTATTTACACTAGCTACTTCCAAGAAATTAAAAGAAAACTTTAAAAAAAATTAAAACACCACAAAATAATTTTGCAATCAGTTGAAAAAACCCGTTAACTTTTGTAGGCTCAATGCAGATGTAATGTAGGTTTTGGCTTAAGAAAGCTTGCATAAAAAAATTTTGATCTTTATATATTGACTAGTTGTTGCGTGTTGTATAATATATTCAGACATAAAAACAATTAATTTATAAAAAAAATAATTATTTTGTATACAACAAAAATATAAACATCTTAAATCACATTTTTAAAACACCTATGTCCATGAGCATGTGGACAAAATTTTGCATAAACAATTAAACATTACTAAAAAAATAACTCAATTGTTGCTTATAAAATTTCACCACTGATTAATCAACTTATCCATATATCATATATGGGGTCGAAAATGCATATCCCAAACATAAATGTTAAATAAAAAACAAAAAAAAAAAATCACATTTACAATAATTCATTAGAAATGTCCAAAAATGGAACGGGAAAAGCGCCAATAGAAAAGGACATTATAAAACAGTTCTCACCAGAGTCCCTGATTCTGTAATTTCATCGAAATCAAAGGTCAGATTCGTACCACCCCACAGCCTGGCACCCACAATTTACAGCCTGGCACCCGTGCCCAGATTCTTTTTCACCATTTCCATTTGAAAAATTAAAAATCACATCTAATTTAATTAATCTGACCTTTGTACTATTTTAACAAAAACTAAATATTTACTCTCTCAAATATCATATTTCTATTGTTATTATTTTTTAGTGCATGTCATTTTATAAAACAAATGTATGCATTTATTAAAAGGGTATGACTCGTTTGTTCATTCAAAATTACTAATTTCGAAAAAGTTCAAAAGAGCATAATTATGAAAGTAGAATATTCATAAAAAAAAATAAAAAATACAACGCGACATATAAAATCATCTATTATATTGTTTATTATTATCACACATTTATTTGATAAATCACTATTAAATTATTTTGTTAAACCAACTAATACAAAATCATATGCTATCTGTTAATAGTTAATACAGTACGCTATGATCTAATTGCTTAACAAAATCTGTAGCGGCCTGATGGCCACGACGATCTAACAAAAACCGACATTAAAGAAAATATATAAAAAAAAATACATTTTTAGCTGACGTGGCCAATCGCGCGAGTATAAATAAGCATCACAACAACGAGTGTAAATAAGCATCACAAATTCACAAATCACAATACCATAAAAAGGGCCAAACGAGAAAAAGAAAAGGTGATAGGAAAAGTGCTTAAAAGTTAAAAAGCGAATAACAAAAACAAAAATGGGTATCTGCAGCTCGTGCGAGTCCACCACCGTGGCCACGGCTAAGCTAATAATGGACGACGGCGGGCTGCAGGAGTTTACTTGCCCCGTTAAAGCTTCCTATGTGCTGCAGGCAAATCCGGCGTACTTCATATGCAACTCCGACGAGATGGAATTCGGCGACGTGGTGTCGCCGGTGAGCGACGACGAGGAGCTCCAGCCGGGACAGCTCTACTTCGCGCTGCCGCTGAGCCGCCTGAGGCGCCGCCTGCGGGCGGAGGAGATGGCGGCGCTGGCCGTGAAAGCGACCGCCGCCCTGGCGAGGTGCGGCTGCCGGAGTAATAGTCTGGTGTTTCCCGGAGACGGCGGCGGGATGGGGAAGGCGTCGGCGGCCGCCGGATCTGGCGGGAGGACGGGCGGCGGCGCCGGGCGGAGGGGGAAAAAGCTGGCTCGGCTGAGCTCGATTGCCGAGTAGCTGCTATGGTTTTTTTTGGGGGGGAATTTGATCGGGAGTCTTAGTTTTTCTTTTCCCTTTTTATTTTTTTTTGTAAATAATTAGTTGTACAATGAGTTTGATTAATTGATTTTTCTTGTTTCTTTTGAAAATTTAAAAAGAAAAAGGAAAAAAAAAATTGTTAATAAGAGGTTTGAACTTTGAACTTCAAATTGGAATATCACATTTTTTTGTCATTTGGTGTTTAATTAATTTATTTTTGTTACCACTTAATTAGCTAATTAATCTGCATTTAGCTTGATCGATCCTATGCCAGTTGGATATGAATGATTAGATATATCCACTAACCAAAACTAAATGCTCCAATTAGCTCTTAGCTTGTGTGCCTACATAGGATAAGATATTACTTTAGTAATTACAATGAGTAAAATTTATTTTGCAACCTGAATTAGAAGTGTATATATATGTGATTTAAAATTTTGTATTTTATTATATTTATATATATATATTTTTTTTGGGTAAAATATAGTTTGAATTTAATGAAAATTTATAATTAGTAACTTCTTGTGCATCTTTATTCTTGACCATACATGTCCTTGTCTCAGATGTGTGTTTTTTGTGGATAATTGTATAATCAAAATGAATTAGAGATGATAAGTTATAAATATTTGTATGTACAAATGTATATTATCAATAAAAAAATTACATTTTAAAATGTCTAAAATAGGTATATTCCAAACAATATTTGTTTTCCTCCTGTAGTATAGTAATCTCAAAAGGAAAAAAAAAAAAAAATAAAAGAATAAAAAAAGAAGTAAAGATTTGGGATTTATGACGTCAAGTCTATTGGTAAAGCTTAAAATAAGAGAATGGACTTCAATGCGCAGTTGATTCATTGTCGTTAGGGATGGCAATGGGTGACAAACCCGCTGGGGGGACCCCCCCGTCACCCGCCCCCATTAGGAAAAATACCCCCGTCACCCGCCCCCATCACCCGTCTCGGGTCTAGATTTCCCCCAGACCCGGCACCCGTGTGGGTGACGGGTACCCATCGGGTGACACAGACCCGATTTCCGGTGAGGAGATCTGCAGCGGCGGCGTCGGTGACTTGACCGCCGGCCTCGAGGTGGAGTTCTGCTCGCCTTCTCCCGTTGCGGCCTACGGGCTCGACGGCGCCAGCGCGGCCGCGGAAGCGGAACCAGCCATCTTGGTGGAGCGGTGGAGCCGCCGGTCGCACGCAGGAGCTGCCGGCGTGGAGTGGAGTGGAGCTGCGACAGAGCGAGAGCGACTGCGAGTGTGCGTGGTGGGCGGGGGCGTGGGACTGGGAGAGGCTGAGAGCAAGAGGATGAGATTGCATCTCATATATCTAGGTTTAGTAGTGCTGCCTGTTGAGTTTTGGGCTTGGCCAAAACATATATTGGGCCAAATTATATTGGGTGCATTATACCCATGGTTTAACGGGTATGGGGGGAGGGGGAACGGACCCATCCCCGCTAGACCCGATGGGGGGACATTTTCCCCATTAACAGACCCATGGGGCCAAATTTTAGCCATACCCGGCTCCTAATGGGGTTTTTACCCATCGGGTTTCGGGTTTTGGGGGCCCATTGCCATCCCTAATTGTCGTTATTACGTATACTTTTTGTTTGCTGCGTACGCTACTGAGTTGAGAAATTGACATTTATGAATGCCCATACAATGCAAATGGTACAAAACAAGTAAAAAACAAAATAATTTTAATTAATTAAAATCTTATTGATAAAAAAAAAAAATTAAAACAGAATCAACGTCAGTCATGAAATGCCCATGCAAATATGCTTTATTAATTTCATTTTCCCTCTCCTAAGCCCCATTCCGATATTATATTATCATTAATTTATTTAATTCGGAAAAATCCTCACAATTCAAACTCAAAAGTCAAAACCTAACATTGCACTTGTGTAATTGTTTTTTGTTTTTTATTTTTTAACTATGTAAGTGAGTAAGTCCTACACATTAATTCCAGTTTAAAATTTTAGAGCATGTTTGGATATCAATTTTTTTGATAATGTGCATGGTTGCCATTCATTCTAATCATTTTTTATCAAATTCTAACATTGAATTAATTGTTTTCGTAAAAAAAAGTCAACCCTCAACTAAACAGAGCTTAACCACTTGAGCCAATTAAGAGCATCTCCATCGGTGTTTCAATTGCGGGATCCTAGAGGCAGTGTTAGGAAAAACTTCTCGAGCGGTGAATTATTTGCTTCTATTTTTGATGATGTGGCATGAGAGGTTTAAAAATTCCAGAATTTTTTTCAAAGCCCTGTTAGACATGCTGAGTCACTATTTTTGCTCCTATTTGTTTCTTATTTTTAGTTAAAAATCATAATTAAGTTGGAAAGAGGCGTAACTGTATGAGAATTTTTTTGCGGGAACTGTTGGGCGCGAACCAGAGGGATTTGGGAGAAAGAAAAAATTAACTAGTCTGCAGGCTTGTCAATAGCGCTAAAAAAGCAACATTTTTTTTTTTTGCGATAAATTATATTATAAATTTAATGGTATATATTTGTTAAAATTATGTATTAAGATACATAATAAAGGATAGCCTTAACAAAAATACATCATAAATTTCACCGATACAAAAATACCTCATAAATTTCAGTTGTGGTTGTAACTCTTCAAAAAATAAATCTTCACCTTATACAATATGAATCTATGATTCAGTACAAGAATAATTTATAGTACTTTTAACGCACGAGAGATACTTATTAACATGTTTTTCTATTCTGTACATATGGACAGAAGGCCGTCTATTTGCGATATAGACGACAACCATTGGAGATGCTCTAAACATGTAAATTTGGAAATTTTTCCTCACGTCTATTTAGTCAACTAGTCAACCAGATCGAATGTAGGAAGAATAGTGAATTAAAATTGCATGTAGCTAGGGTTGTCTGATTTTTCACTTCCAACCACCCTTAAATTAAAAATAGATTAAAAACTTATGTAACTTAATGAAAAGTTTACAACATAGTAACCTGTAACTCGCGTTTTTTCTTGACAACAGTTGCAACTCAGAATCATAACGGTAATTAATTAAGAGAGTTTTGGACAAGGATTTTTAAATCAATCTCCAATTACTTTTTACTAATTATTTTTTTAATTCAAACTCAAACTCTAACTCTAATTAAATTCAACCAAACTTTACTTATTAATCAGTATTATCAATATAATTTAATAATATAAATCAATCATTCTCATACAACACATCAGTTTTAATTCAATATTCATTCACTCAAGTAATTTTAATTACTCATCACTTTCAATCATCTCTCTCACACTTTTACATCAAATCAGCTTTAATTATTTTATTTAAAATATATTTTAATTTATTACAAATTCAAAATCTCACTCAAACCTACACAACCTACTTTTTCAATAGTAAAAAAAAAAAACAATCAATACTAAATATTCATAAGCAACTTCTAAGTGTAAGATGAATAATGCAGTGCAATAATGTTAGCATTCAATGTTGTTTTTTAATACACACTTAAATCAATCAATCGTGCTCATGCCTTATGTATAGAGATTTAAAGCTTTTGTATGGATTAATTGGGGCCTCCCAGCTCCGAGGATGGTGTTAGGTGGTGAGGAAATGTCCAAAAACAGGCAGAAAATAATATGAGACTCCTTTTTACAGCTGGAGCCACGTCATGCATGAGGGTACACTGCTATATGCATGGGGTACAAGTACAACACAAAAATGATTTCTTGCCAGTGTCTACAAATTTAAGGCCAATAATCAATTTAATCATGCATCAATTCTTCACTATTGTAGCAAGGAGTTCTAAAATTTTCAAGTTCAGTTACAGGTGGAATTGATAGATTGTTTTGAAAAAAAAAAATATATTTGAATGATAAGAGTGAAAAAATATATATTTAGTGGAAGAATATAATATTTTTAATATATATTGAAAATGGATATGAGATAAATTAAATGTAATGTCTAAAGCTAATGTTTTCGTAATATTAAAATAGTGACTGTAAAATTTGGCAGATAAAAATATGTGAATATTTGAATAAGGAAATTGTTGAAAATGTGTGGTAATATTGATTTATTTTTATTATTTAATTGCACTCATTAAATCAAAGAGAAAAATGTTGGACTAAATGAATACTGAATTTTTTGAATAAAATAAAATTTATACCCGACTGTTGAATTTTGAATAACGAAAAAATTTAATCTTAATAGATTAATATAAATTATATTAATTTTACACAAATCAATGTATGTGATTGGTTTATTTCCTACATTCTCATTATAAAAAAGGGTTTTATTGGATCCAAACCTTTGTTACAAATTTTTTAATCATAATTCTGCATAAATATAATTGATACTAAAACCCAACACTTGTTACATCAATGATTTCATTCTAAATATTAAATAAATATTGACACGCTTACTCGACTGACATACGTTTACTTGAAAGCAATTAAATACCAGCCTAACCCGGTGAACTAGACTAGACTAGACTTGCATTAATTCTACATATGGTCCACTTAATGACGAACGCTTTTTATATCAGTATATTACTAAGTCAGATTCATGCACTAACCAGTCACCCAGTATATATGACTAATGTACCTTCTTATATTTTTATAAAGGAATAATTTGCAATATAAGTGACGTAGAGTAACTCATTTCAATAATAATTATCCAAAATATATTTTTTTTTGGTAGAAATATAAAATTTAAAACAATTTGACATTGTGCATTAATTAATTATCCTATACATCTAGATCTTCCAATCAAAATATATTTCATTTCAAAATAATTAAATTAAAATTATTTTACTAAGAATAAAGGACACAATGGAAAATATTTTGAAAATAAAGTTTGTGAAAAAAAAAAAAAACAGTTATGTTTTTGTCGATAAATTCTGGAATGCGTGTAATTAGTTTGTAGCATTTGATATTTGAGAGAGAAAAAAAAATAATAGGTTAATTCTTTAAATTCTAAAATGCATGTATGCTAGCTAGGTGAATTTTGATAGATGAATTTCAGAATGCATGTAATTTGAGGGATTCAGTGCATGTATATTTTTTTAAAAAAATTTCATGATTCGTTTGATTTTATGAAGAAAAATTCTAATAGGTAAATTCTGAAATGCATGTAATTTCAAGAGATTTGGAGAATTATATTGTGTAATTTATTCAGAAATTACCCAATTTGGAATTCTATAATTATATTTGGAAAAATCTATTTGGTGATTATTTATTATGATAAAATAATATCTTACTGGGTGACAGTGAATATTAATTTCTAAGGATTATGTATATAACGACTTTGTCCTTCTAAAAAAAATATTCAGGTGTTATTTTAAAATTTAATCCTCAATTTTGGACTACAGGAAAAATACATCTCTGTTTTAAAAACGGAAAGATAAAGAACACAATATAGAAACTGGATATCACTTATACTCAATTTTCTTCTTCCTTCTGTACATTTTTCCATTGCATTTCGTGTACCTTTTATAGGCAAACTTTCCCGACATAACATACAATAATTTACACCACATTCATATCTATTACTATTCCCATTTATTCAAATAGTGAAATGTCACTATTCATGCATAGTGGTTCATTCCACTTGTTTATAACACTCCCCCTTGGAATTACCACTATGCAATGTGCGTTTATGCTGCCTCATTAAAAACCTTATTCTCGGAAAAACCCTGTGGGAAAAAAACCGAGATAAGGAAAAAAGAGTACAGCCGCACATGCTCCCCCTCGAGTTATCATCCGTGTAAATCTCGAAGATGTCTCATTCCAATGTTATGGACGTGCTTTCGAAATGTTGTAGTTGGGAGCGCCTTCGTAAATAAGTCTGCTGCATTATCACATGATCGGATGTATTGAATCTTGATCTGTTTGTTCCTTTCAAGCTCTTGAGTGTATGAGAAGAACTTTGGTGGGATATGTTTAGTTCTGTCACTCTTGACGTATCCTTCTTTGGTCTGAGCGACACATGCTGCATTGTCTTCGAATATGACCGTCGGATCTTTATTATTTGATAATCCACTGGCTTGTTGAATGTGTTGAGTCATATTTCTGAGCCAGATGCTCTCCCTAGTTGCTTCATGCAGTGCAATGATTTCAGCATGGTTTGAAGATGTAGCAACTAGTGTTTGTTTCTGAGAACGCCAGGAAAATGCAGTTCCACCAATAGTGAAAACGTAGCCAGTCTGAGATCTCGCCTTATGTGGGTCTGATAAATATCCTGCATCTGCAAAACCGATCATTTCATGTTTTTTATCATTTGAGTAAAATAATCCCAGATCGATTGTTCCTTGGAGATAACGGAATATATGCTTGATTCCATTCCAGTGTCTCCTTGTAGGTGACGAGTTATATCTTGCTAACAAGTTGGTAGCAAAAGATATATCTGGTCTGGTGCAATTAGCAAGATACATAAGAGCCCCTATTGCACTCATATATGGTACCTCAGGACCAAGTATTTCTTCATTTTCTTCACAAGGTCGAAATGGATCCTTTTCAACATCCAATGTTCGGTTAACCATAGGAGTACTAAGGGGATTAGCTTTGTCCATATTAAATCGTTTCAGTACTCTTTTAGTATAGTTAGATTGATGGACGAATATCCCATTTTGTACTCTCTCTATCTGTAAGCCAAGGCAATATTTAGTTTTTCCGAGATCTTTCATTTCAAATTCGCCTTTCAGAAAAGTAACTGCTTCTCGAATTTCATTTGCTGTCCCAATAATATTAAGATCATCAACATAGACAGCAATTATCACAACTCCATCATGTGATTTCTTTATGAAAACACACGGACATATTTGATCATTCAAGTATCCCCTTTTTAGTAATTGTTCACTCAAACAATTATACCACATACGCCCGGATTGTTTTAAGCCATACAATGATCTTTGCAACTTTAACGCACATAACTCCTTAGGTTTTGAGTTCAGTGCTTCGGGCATTCTGATTCCTTCTGGGACTTTCATGTATATGTCGGTGTCTAATGATCCATACAAGTAAGCAGTCACAACATCCATGAGACGCATCTCAAGATTTTCATGGGTAGCTAAACTCATCAAGTATCTGAAAGTAATTGCATCCATGACAGGGGAATATGTTTCATCATAATCGATCCCAGGCCTTTGGGAGAATCCCTGTGCAACAAGGCGAGCTTTATATCTCGTGATCTCATTATTCTCATTTCTTTTTCTGGTGAAAACCCATTTGTATCCAATGGGTTTTATGCCTTTTGGTATAATGGAAATAGGCCCAAAAACTTTTCGTTTATTTAGTGAATCTAACTCGGCTTGAATGGCGCCTTTCCATTTATCCCAGTCACGTCTTTTCTGACATTCAGCTACAGATTTTGGTTCAGGATCCTCAACTTCATTATCAATTTCTTTTGATACCATATATGCGAATGCATCATCATTATTCATGATCTCATCACGCTTCCAAAGATTCCCATTGTTCACGTAATTGATGGAAATTTCAATATTTTCATTTTGTCCCGAAATTTTTCCATCATCTTGATTCCTTTTCAAATTGGAGTCAAGAATTTCTCTTTTCTTTCGAGGATTCTTATCTTTAGACCCAACTGGTCTTCCTCGTTTCAAGCGTGTCTTTGACTCATTTGGCTTATCGTCATTTGCCATTTCTTTTGGAATCTCAATTCGAGCAGGGGCATTTACGGCTACCACATGTGATTTGGTCACCCTTTTTAAATCAGTAAATGCATCTGGCAATTGATTTGCAATATTCTGCAAATGTATGATCTTTTGAATTTCTTGCTCTCTTTGTTTGGTGGG